TCATATGGTAAATTTCCTCACCCGCACACCCTCGTCACCTTTACTCTTCCTTTACTCTTTTCTTCCCAAATTGATTTAGCTATTCGTGGATCTTTATACTCACATGTGAATTTTGATTGGGTTTGAATGGATTCTACAGACTCATTCGAGAAAATCTCAAAACTTTAAATCAAATAGCTTCTGGATGAAATTGTTGATGTTGTTTGAAAGAAGCTATGTGTCAGACAGTGCCTAGAACAGCTGTGTCTCACTTACTTTAAGAGATGGTAGAGTTATTATCATCCAGTAAAATATTGTACCAAGGAAATGCCAATAAAATGATGTTTTTGCCAAAAATACATTGCACCCTTTTGGAAAGAAGAGCTACTTTTGTTTTCTCAGCCTTAAGTTAGTCAGGAAAGAGGGAGGGGCACAGAGGAGTTCTGGAAGTGAATTCTTCCAGGAGGTAGCTGTTCTGATCCTGAAGTGCACGAGGCACCAAAAAGTGCTGTTGGGAAATTAAGGTTTTTATTTCTACTCCTAGGAATTTTAGGCAACAGCGAGAAAGTGGGGGAATTTTTGGATAGAATGAAGGAATCTCTTTGCAACTCTTGAAATTTTGCCAGATCATTTAAAATATGTTTGTTTTGGATTTTTTCATCCCTTTCCTTTTAAAAGTTTTACTCTTGCTTTATTTCCTCTTTACTTACTTACACAAATTTTTAGATTCTTTTGTATGCTGTTAATATAAATAATTTGAATACAGATAGCGCTGCATTGTTCTTGCTTTAAGCTAAAGGTTTAACCATTAGAAGCAAGAACTACTAATGCCAATAAGAAGATGTCAAAAAAAAAAAAAAACCTGTTGCCAAAGAGTCAATTCCAACTCATAGCGACCCTACAGGACAATTGGACCCTATAGGACAGAGTAGAACTCTCCACAGGGTTTCCAAGGAGTGGCTGGTGGATTCAAAGTGCTGACTTTTTGGTGAGCAGCCGAGCTCTTAACCACTGTGCCACCAGGGCT